CAACGGAGCTTTCACGTTAAAAGTTAGAGCGGTTAATATCTATTTTACTCTTAATGAATTTTTTATATAAATCAGCCAAAAATAAAAACGAATTTAAAACTTATTTGATTAGATAAATGATTTAAATTAATAATAATGATAAGAATTATCCATAATCTAAATATATATTTAAAAATAAAAAGATAATTCCTATATAGATATTGTGTTGTTATCCGGAAAATATATTTTAATTAAAAAAATCCAAAAACTGAAAACACATAAATAAATATTCATAAAGTAAATTTTTTAATTGTATACAATTCAAAAAAGAAAATTGAAAATTTATAATACGTAATTATTTTCAAATTAAAAGAATATAATAATATAATATAATGATATATATATGTGAAGTTATTTTTCGCCTCTGAACTCACATGTTAAATTAAATTTATATTTATATTTTATATAGTTAAACCTTAAGAAAATACGTGTTTGACAAAAATAAATCCAAATATATTGTATTATTATCTAAACTAATGTTATTCTTTCTGTAAAATCAATTTTTGAATGTAAATTTATCGATTCAATTTTTCAAATTTTTTTATCAATTAAGAAGAAATGAAATAGACTTTAAATTTTTCAAAGTTTCAAATAAAAAATTAGTTTGTAAATAACTTTATCATGTAAAAAAGTTTAATGTTTTAGGTCGAATTTTTTGAATGCAAATAATCATTTATTTTGATGTTTTTTTAAATCTATCTATCTATACTATTATTTGCAAAGTGATTTTTCGCAACGGACCTCTCACGTTAAAAGTTAGAGTGGTTAATATCGTTTATACCCTTAATGAATAAAATATATACATCAGCCAAAAATAAAAACGAATTTAATACTTATTTGATTAGATAAATGATTTAAATTAATAATAATGATAAGAATTATCCATAATCTAAATATATTTTTAAAATAAAAAGATAATTCCTATATAGATATTGTGTTGTTATCCGGAAAATATATTTTAATTAAAAAAATTCAAAAACTGAAAACACATATGTTCATAAAGTAAAATTTTTAATTATATAATTCAAAAAAAGAAAATTGAAAATTTATAATACGTAATTATTTTCAAATTAAAAGAATATAATAATATAATATAATGATATATGTATGTGAACTTATTTCTCGCCTCTGAACTCACACGTTAAATTAAATTTATATTTATATTTTATATAGTTAAACCTTAAGAAAATACGTGTTTGACAAAAATAAATTCAAATATATTGTATNTTTCAAATGAAAAATTAGTTTGTAAATAAATTTATCATGTAAAAAAGTTTAATGTTTTAGGTCGAATTTTTTGGATGCAAATAATCATTTGTTTTGATGTTTTTTTAAATTTATTTAAAGATAATTAAACTTATTTGATTAGATAAATGATTTAAATTAATAATAATGATAAGAATTATCCATAATCTAAATATATATTGATATAAAAATATTTTAATGTTTGATTTAGGTTTTTTAAAACTATAAAAAATAATTGTATATAATTCAAAAAAGAAAATTGAAAATTTATAATACGTAATTATTTTCAATTTAAAAAAAATATAATAATATAATATAATGATATATGTTTATATTTATATTTTATATAGTTAAACCTTAAGAAAATACGTGTTTGACAAAAATAAATTCAAATATATTGTATTATTATCTGAACTAATGTTATTCTTTCTGTAAGATCAATTTTTGAATGTAAATTTATCGATTCAATTTTTCAAATTTTTTTATCAATTAAGAAGAAATGAAATAGACTTTAAATTTTTCAAAGTTTCAAATGAAAAATTAGTTTGTAAATAAATTTATCATGTAAAAAAGTTTAATGTTTTAGGTAGAATTTTTTGGATGCAAATAATCATTTATTTTGATGTTTTTTTAAATTTATTTAAAGATAATTAAACTTATTTGATTAGATAAATGATTTAAATTAATAATAATGATAAGAATTATCCATAATCTAAATATATATTCATATAAAAATATTTTAATGTTTGATTTAGGTTTTTTAAAACTATAAAAAATAACTTATAATATTATTTTAGAATTAATAAATATTCGTAAGAAAATTAAGCCCGCATGTGCGGGCAAAACACCTAGTTTCTATATAAAAAGAAAAAGCAATCTTCTAAATATCTCGAAAGACTTTGAATCTTTTAGAAATTTGAAAAAAAAAAAGGAAAATCATTCATATGCAGTAAAAGTTTTTTTTTTTTTTTTTTTTGGGTCAAAAAGCAGTAAAAGTTTATTAACAAAAAAATCCGCTGAACATTTACGTTAGTCATTTATAAACATTTGATGAAACATTTTTAAGCGATGGAACTCGTATATATATATATATATATATATATATGTATATATATATAAGCTTAGTTCTCGCTTGAACTTATCTAAGCTTAGTTCTCGCTTGATTATTGGTGGTGGCGATGTTATTTAAAATTTAGCTTAGTTCTCGCTTGCTAGTTCTTCTCAGGGATTTAATCACTGCGTGTGTCTGTGTGTTGTTTACGTTGCTATGCTTCTCAAGGATTCATGACGAGGCGGGGTGTGTGTGTGTGTGTGTACTGCACAATTTGTTCTTGCTATTTCAGTCTAAGATCATAGTTACTGGGATTAGCCCTAATAAACATGACCCACCATTGAAACCTGAAGTGCTTCTTTTCTTCTTCTCTCGTAGCTTTCTTCTTCCCTTTCACTAACATCGCCACCACCAATAATCCTAACAATAACGCTCCAAACTTGCTCTCCAAACGTTATGTTAACGTTACTTGTGAAGCACGCACACAAAAGAGATGAGTTTACACACTCCCATGGTTACCTCTTGCCTTGAGGCTCAAGAAACTATCAGAATTGGGTTCTATGATTGAGAACCTAAAATAGTTTGGTCACATGATCATATCTTGCATGTTTAACTTCAGATTAGAATTAGATTAGTCGTTAACCATGTTAAAATAATATCTGATATAATTTTGTGAAAAAAAGATGACAAAGAGAGGTGGTTCCAACAAAATTCTCAGCTGTTCAGGAGAAATCTTTAACCTACAAGCATTGTCTGAAACAAGCATTATAAGAAATAAAATATTCATTCAATGACGGATTCTTCAGGCTTGTCTGTTTCTTCTCTTGGGACCAGACTTGGCGACTCTAAGACCTTTGCTAATCACGCTGAGCCTAGCAAGTGCTGCCTTCTTCAGATCAGGCCTGTAGTAGTTGTCCACAACCTGACAAAATTATACAAAAACAAAATTCGATTAACACAAAAAGACAGAAAATAACAGTTATTAATGTTTTTTTTGTTGCTAATAACAGTTATGAATGTTGCACAGAAGATATAATAGATCTCAGAAGCCAAGCGTAACAAATATATTTCATAGAAGAAAGATCCCACAAAGGAATCCTCTTCTTAAAACAAAAACTATAATTAAACCTTAAGTAACACAATTAATAACAAGTGCACGTAGAGCAGACCACTTCAACACGCTAAGTAGCCTAAAGCAAATTGAAAATTAACCAATCCAGAAATAAAAAAATGCCAAACAATGATTAATTATAAAAAAAAAAACTGGATTATACCTGATTAGCAACAGCTTTGGCCATCTTAGGAAACTCCTTCTTGAGAACTGACTTGTTAACAGAGAGCTTAGGCTTGTTCTGCTTCTTGGTCTTGGTGGTTCCAAGTACCACACCTTGCTCTTTATCAGCTACTTGAATGGTCACTGTCTTCTTGTTTGCCAAACCTAAACTCACAAAAACAACAACAACAAAAATTAAAAACTTTAAATAATAAAATATGAGATTCTATAACAATTCAACATCCAAGAGACCAATAAGATCAACAGTCAAAAAAAAGATCCAAACTTTATAGCTTATTCAAACTAAAGCAGACACCTTTTAATCACATTGTACATAACATTACCAGAGTGTTTGTAGGAGTTGAGGTTGCAGAGGTTGTTGGTCTCTTTGCTGAACTGAACTTTAGCATTGCCTCTACCAAACTGTTTGACCAAGAAACAGTTGTTTCTCTTTACTATCTCCCACACCAACTGTCCTGGAACTGTTGTCATTTCGAATCTCCTAATGGAATGTCGGGACAACGGCGGGATAGAAGATTGAACGAGAACTAGTGCCGGCGTTATTTGGTTAATATATAAACACTCTTTGCAAAACCCTAATTTTAATTCTGTACATAGACAAATAAATTTAAGGTGTGATAAATTGTTAAAAGGGCGTTTGGTCTAGTGGTATGATTCTCGCTTTGGGTGCGAGAGGTCCCGAGTTCGATTCTCGGAACGCCCCACTCTTTTAGTTTTTTTTTTTCCTTCTTATCAAGTTTGGTTTATGCTTTTTCTTCTTCTATTTCTTTTCACCGTGAACAAACCAATCGTGTTTTTTTTATACGGTTAAGCAATGGTGGTTATCAAATTTTTTTTTTTTTTATTGATAGCAATCTTATCAAAGAGAGTTTAGCAATACTGATGGAAATTAAACTTTGGTTTTTTTTCTCTCTTGTTTAGATAGAGAATATGATTAGTTCCATTGTAGCACATGCATGCATTTATATGATTTAAATAGTATAGAATAAATTTAGCTCCACGCGACCATTTAGGAAGTGACACATTCATGAATTTCATTCACTCCACTGCTCTCAAGTGGAGGTTTTAGTAGGCAAGTTACAATAGAATTCGAATCTCTCTGTAGAATGTTTGAATTACAATGTTCACCATAACACACTTTACTATAGAAAATCCAATACAAAGTTCCATCAAAGATATACTAGACCTATTATATAATTCCTTTGAATACTCGTAGGTTTCAGATTCCCTTGCATTAGATCCAATCTCGATGATATTAACATGAACATCCAGTGTATAATTATATCTCCAAACTAAAGATCTTGTATTGTTTGTCAGGTCTACTATTATCATATCCTATCCCACAAGGAAAACCTACCAAGGAATCGTTCAGTCTAATTAATCTGTCTCAACCATGTATCGCAAAATTAGTAATTCATGACCAAAAAGGTCTATAACCGGGAACAAACTGAGGTAAGTTATGAAACTCTATAGATGGACCATCAAGATTAACATCCACAAAACAAATCTTGGATTCGACAAACGAGATGAATAGTGGACGAGCACGAGACAAATGATTGTTGACAAAAAGTTTGTCGTTGAAAAGAATTTCTGGGAATTGCAAGCCATGTTCCAAAAGCCAACTCCAGATGACTCCAATTTTCCAGGAGCCTCCTCGTCCTTCCAAACACCCCGCTGCATATATGAATGAATATTTACAAAAAGAAAAACTAAACCCTAATAAATTATCACTATTTCATTTTTCATTTTATTAGTTTTGAACTGTTTGTAGTTTATATGCGTACAATTAAATAGAATATTATTATTAAGTAGCATCAAATTTTTAATACAAGAATTTGGCTTAACTTAGTTACTCTTGTTTGAGTATATTGCGTTGCATATATTTCTCCAAAATGAATCGTGAATATTTTTACAATTAGGAAAAATGTGGATTAACATTATTTCATTTAGTTTGATTATATTTTGAGATATGGAAATATATTTTTATATTTTTTAATTTATACATTTAGAAAAAATGAATTGGTCTTCAATATTAAACGGTATAAGCAAATCTTTTAGGATTCCTGCAAACATATAAATATTCAAAAATAACTAAATCCTAATAATTGGTTGTATTTTAGACTACATTTATATATATATATATATATATATATATATTAATTATTTTGTAATTTGTATTTTTGAAAAATATTGATTTGAATTTATTTAATATTAAATTTTGAATTGGATTATTCATTCATATTTTTATATATTGGATTGCATCAAAATTTTAACTGTGTCACAATTATTTTTGGTTCTATGTATGCCAAATAAATATTTTAATTTTGTTTAGTTTAATATTTCTTATATTTATAATTATATTTTTAGAATTTTATAATATTTGATTTATGTAGTTTTGGATAAAATTAAGAAAAGGCTGATGTGTTGAGAAATTCAAAATTGAATAAGCAAACTGAAAATGTAATATTTTGTAAATTACTTGGTCAATTAATGTTTAAAAGTCATAATATTCAAAAAATTGATAAGTTTGATTCAACTACAATCATAATTTGATTTTCAGTCTTATATAATTTAATTATATGTTTTTCTTGTGTAATTAAAATACACAAGATTCATATGGACAAAAACTGTAAATATAATCATTAATATGAAGAATATTTTAACTAGAAAAAATATGTTAAGGTCCAGGACATTAAAATGAAAGAAACTTCCAGTGGAATTTTTTTTTCTTATTGGTCGCAACCTTTTCAAAAGAGAGTTTAGCAAAATGGCTGTTTCAAAGCCCCTCTGTTTCCGTTTCAGGGAGAAATAAATTGCTTCATATGAAGATAAAAATACACAATCTTCAAGTTATTTGTAACACCCGATTCTTCCAAAAATAATATAATTAATAATAATTACTGAAAACATCGGATTTATTAATAATACTTAAAAGTCGACATAAACCGTGCCACATAAGTCCAACACATAAAACGGCTCAAGGCCCAATACATAACATCCGTAATAACGTCAACAACATAAACCGAAAGTCTGAAATAACATAAGCGATAAAAGTCCAAGGCTTATAAGCCCAATATGATAAAATACGATAAAATACGATAAGATAAGATATAATACTATAGAAGCCCAAAAGCCCAATAGCACCGGTCCGATATGATCACTCCTGCTGATCGGCCTCACCTGCAAGGGGAAGAATGAGGGGTGAGCAACAGGGGAGTCGCTCAGTGAGGTATGGGATGCTACTCCGAAGTCCGTAGACCCGGACATAGCACTCCAAATAAATATAAATTAAATCTAATATGTACAAACACGGCACCTAAAGCACCCAAGCAAAACAAACAATGGTCCTAGCGAGACGCACTCGCTGCCCACAAACGGGCCAAATACAACACAACAACCACTGAGGATAGTGCCCCGGCACCGCCCGTAGACGATTTATCGACCCTAAGCTACGGCTCAACCGGTCGACTAAAGTTGGCCGTAACCCTAAAACAATCCGGCATACAGAAGTCCTTCTCTGTATCCGGCCAAACAATCCTAACTAAATGATTTACATTAAGTGAATCAATCAATGTTGAACCATCTAACCACCTCGTTCCGGTTTAGGCACAGAACCTAAAACTAAGCAGGCAATGACAGACTCGATTTCACGCAGACGGAACATAATAGAAATAAATTATACTTATTTAAAATCCTAAGTCACGTACGAATCGTTCGGAAGTAGACCCTCACCTTAGAAACAGGGGAAAAGTGGTCTCTATGAACTCCAGCTGCTCAAATAGATCCCAAATCTGAAATCAGATCGAAATTCCGAGTCAGTTTGACCTTCGAACGGTCGAAAACGGGCAATTTCGGAAAAGTCAACTCGCAGGTCAAAGGTCAACCCGGTCAACTCTGACCCAAGCCGGTCAACCCTTGACCAAATTGAAATCGAATTNCCTAACCAAGCTAACCAAACCTAAACCGGTTGACCGAGTCAACGGTTGACTCGCCGAGTCAACTCGGCCGAGTTGACCGAGTCGCCGGCGAGTCACCGGACTCCGGTCACCGGTCCGGCGAGGACGCGGCGGCTTACCGGCGGAGGAGCGGCGGCGACGGCGCGGCGGAGGAGCGGCGGCGACGGCTTCCCGGCGGCGGACGGACGGCGACCGGCGGCGGCGGCTCCGGCGAGGCGACGGCGGAGCTCCGGCGAGAGGCGGCGGCGCGTGGCTCACACGCGCGTGCGAAGGGGAAGATTGCGGGGGCGCGTGACGGCGGCTCCGGCGTCGGATCTCGGCGTTTTCGGGGTCTACGGCTTCGTCTCGACGAGTAGAACACGATGGTACCCTTGCATTCACGAGATTTTCAACGGTTAGGAAGTTATGGTCTATTTACTAAACGGATCAAAACTTAACTAAAAACGTGGCGGTTTCCGGTGGTTACCTAGGCTGGGGGTCGGCGGTGACGAGCTGGACGGGTACTCTGGTCGTGGTGTCTCCGGTGACGAGCTCAGGCGAGTCTATCTCTACAAAACCAAACACTCTTTCTCAAACTCTCTCTCCAAACTCTCTCTCTCTTGCATGAAAATTTCTGAGAAAACAAGGTGGTGAAAATAGCTTTTATAGCTACTACCTTTGGCCAATTCGGATGGGCCTGAGGCTTGGGCCGAAAATGATGAATTTTGTGGGTTTGGGTTTTGACTATTCTCCCTCACTAATACGGAATTCGTCCCCGAATTCGAGTCAAGCGTCGACTGACCGATAACATCTCGAAACAGCTCTGGAAAATTAATCCTCATCTGCGGCTCAGACTCCCAGGTCTCCTCCTGGATCCCGTCTCTCTCCCAACGAACCTTGACCATCATGGTCATCATCCCCTGGTCCGCTCTCACTTGTCGATCCACAATCTCCACTGGCTGACAAACTGCGGATAAGTCTCTACGAAGATCACTGGGCGGCTGCTGCAAAATGAGCTCTGGCTCTCTCACGACTTTCCTCAAAACTGACACATGAAACACATCGTGGAAGTCTGATAATTCTGCCGATAAACGCAATCTATAAGCAACTGCTCTAATCCGCTCCAAAATAGGAAATGGTCCCATGTATCTCGGTTTCAGCTTCTTCAGCTTCCGAGTAGTAGATCCTCCTTGAAACGTCCTCATCTTAAGGTATACCAGGTCGCCAACCTGAAACTCTAAATCCTTACGCCGCTTATCTGCATAACTCTTCTGGCGATCATGGGCTTCCTTAAGCCGTCTCTTGAGCATCTCAACTTGCTCTACCGTCTCTTGAACCATTGCTGGTTCTATCTCACGTCGCTCCCCCACTTCTGTCCAACAAAGCGGGGTACGACAAGGTCTACCATAAAGAGCCTCATACGGTGCCATCTGAATGCTCGAATGATAACTGTTGTTGTAGGCAAACTCCGCTAGGGGTAGGTATCTCAACCAACTACCTTCCCAATCCAAAACGCAAGCTCTCAACATATCCTCC